CTGAACAGTTTTTATCCTCACCAACCCCCTCTCACTCTCTCACTCTCTCACTCTCTCACTCTCTCTCTTCCTCTGTCTCACTCTCCTCTCTCTCTCGTCTCCTCTCTCTCTCCCTCTCTCTCTCACTCTCTCTCTCTCTCTCTCTCTCTCTCTCTCTCTCTCTCTCTCTCTCTCTCTCTCTCTCTCTCTTACACAGGGTTTGACAAGGTTACAAGGTTAAGGATCCCTAGTTTTATTGACAAGCTATTTACAGGTTAAGGATTCCTAACTTCATTGACAAGCTAAGAGCTGTTACCTACATCAGCTTATTTGAAAGCATTTTTATTGTTATGCAACATACAAGTAGGGAACAGGATGAAGTTGGAGCCATCTGTGGGCCAGCATTTTCATGTGATCAACTGACTTTATCTCGTTGACATCATTATGCTGTACGAATGTGTTCCATACTTGAGTCATCCTGGATATATATGATCTCAGATGGAGTGATGCTCTGGAGAAGGGTATAGCCAGAGTGAAGTTGCTGCTTTCTGCCCGTCTTGTGGCATAAAAGCTTGTTTCACGCTGTCCTCAAAGTGGATCCAAGTGTGGTACTTTGACAATATTGGCCTTGTACATAACAGTAAGGCCACCCACATTCCTCCTATGTTGAAGGCTCTGCTGAAATGAAAGATCTTTCCCGGATGGGTCCAGGCGAGAGATGAGATGTCTTGATCTGTTCTCTACTCTGTCAAACAGTTGCAGATGAGAGGGGGGGGGGGCAGGCCAACCAAGAAAGTGAAGCATACTCAAGGTGTGAGCGTACTTGTGCCTCGTACAGAATCTTGCAACCCCTACTGTCAAGCAGATGCAAGATACGGCAAAGTGCTGTAAGCTTCCTGGCTGCCTTGTTTGCAAGATTTACAACATGGTTCTTCATGGTTAGTTTGGAGTCAAATTTCACCCCAAGGATATCAACTTCTCTCTCTGTGTGTCTCTCTCTCTGTCTCTCTCTCTCTCTGTCTCTCTCTCTCTCTGTCTCTCTCTCTCTCTGTCTCTCTCTCTTCTCTCTCTCTCTCTCTCTCTCTCTCTCTCTCTCTCTCTCTCTCTGTCTCTCTCTGTCTCTCTGTCTCTCTCTGTTTCTCTCTCTCTCTCTCTCTCTGTCTCTCTCTCTCTCTCTCTCTCTCTCTCTGTCCTCTCTCTCTGTCTCTCTCTCTGTCTCTCTCTCGTCTCTCTCTCTCTTCTCTCTCTCCCCTCTCTTCTCTCTCTGCTCTCTCTATCTTCTCTATCTTCTCTCTCTCTCTCTCTCTCTCTCTCTCTCTCTCTCTCCTCTCTCTTCTCTCTCTGTCTCTCTCTCTCTCTCTCTCTCTCTCTCATCTCTCTCTCTCTCTCTCTCTCTCTCTCTCTCTCGTCTCCTCTCTCTCTCTGTCTCTCTCTCTCTCTCCTCTCTTTCTATCTTCTCTTCTGCTCTCTGTCTCTCTCGTCTCTCGTCCTCCTCTCTCTCTCTCTCCTTCTTCATCTCTCTCTCTCTCTCTCTCTCTCTCTTCTCTCTCTTCTGTCCTCTCTCTCTTTGTCTCTCTCTCTCTTTCTGTGTCTCTCTCTTCTGTCTCTCTCTTTCTGTCCTCTTCCTCTTGTCCTGTCTCTCTCTCTGTCTCTGTCTCTTCTCTCTCTCTCTTCTGTCTCTCTCTTTCTGTCTCTCTCGTCTGCTCTCTCTCTCTCTTCTCTCATCTCTCCTCTCTCATCTCTCTCTCAAATCTTTCTCGTCTCTGTCTCTCTCTCGTCTCTCTTTGTCTCTCTCTCTCTCTCTCTGTCTCTGTCTCTCTCTCTCTCTCCACACACTGTAATAATAACAATTTTTACTTGGACATGATACAGTGGACCCCCGCATACCGTACGCATCACCTAACGTTCAATCCGCATACCGCTCGCTTTTATCGCAAAAATTTTGCCTCGCATACTGCTCAAAAACCCGCTCACCGCTCTTCGTCCGAGACGCGTCCAATGTGCGCCCTTAGCCAGCCTCACATGTGCCGCCGGTGGCATTGTTTACCAGCCAGCCTCCGCGGTAACATCCAAGCATACAATCGGAACATTTCGTATTATTACAGTGTTTTTGGTGATTTTATCTGCAAAATAAGTGACCATAGGCCCCAAGAAAGCTTCTAGTGCCAACCCTACAGCAATAAGGGTGAGAATTACTATAGAGATGAAGAAAAAGATCATTGATAAGTATGAAAGTGGAGTGCGTGTCTCCGAGCTGGGCAGGTTGTATAATAAACCTCAATCAACCATCGCTACTATTGGTGGTACAGCTGCTGCTGCTGTACCACCGTCAGCTGCTGCTGTAGTACCGTCTGCTGCTGCTGTAGCATCGTCTGCTGCTGCTGTAGCACTGTCAGCTGCTGCTGCTGCTGCTGCTGCTGCTGCTGCTGTAGCACCGTTGTTGGTGTGGCTTATTGAGAATACCAAGAAACAATTAACCTCAGAGGATTTGCCACCCAGGATAACCCAAAAAAGTCAGTGTCATCGAAGACTGTCTAACTTATTTCCATTGGGGTCCTTAATCTTGTCTCCCAGGATGCAACCCACACCAGTCGACTAACACCCAGGTGAACAGGGAAAAATGCCTGGAGCTAGTGCTCATATTGGTGAATTTAAAGCCAGCAAAGGTTGGTTTGAGAGATTTAAGAATCGTAGTGGCATACACAGTGTGATAAGGCCTGTTCTGGAAGAAAATGCCAAACAGGACCTACAGTACTCAGGAGGAAAAGGCACTCCCAGGACACAGTGTCTCATCAGTCATTGCTGCATCTTCAATAAAGGTAAGTGTCATTTATTCTTCATTTAGTAGAGTAGTACATGCACAATATATATTGTGCATGTACTACTCTACTATTGTGCATGTATCCTTCTCTTTGTGTGTAGGAAAATGTATATTTCATGTGGTAAAAATTTTTTTTTCATACTTTTGGGTGTCTTGTACGGATTAATTTGATTTCCATTATTTCTTATGGGGAAAATTCATTCGCATACCGATCATTTCGCATAACAATGAGCCCTCTTGCACGGATTAAAGTCGCTATGTGGGGGTCCACTGTACATAGTTGTACAAAGAAATATAGTAGTTGGGTGTACATGCCAAAAGCCCCTTCTATGCAGAGCATTATGGGCAGGCTTAAAATTAACTTAAAGATTCACCCTAAACCCTGTGACTGTTGCGACCCCACGTCCTAAAGTGTCTCTCTGTGTTGCAAAATATTTAAAAAAAAAAATTATTTTTTCTTACGAAATGATAGTGAATCTCTTCCTGATGGTAATGACACCAAAATACGAAATTTGATGGAAAACTTACAGAATTACACTCTTGTGAAGTTATCAATCTCGGCGATATTTACACATCAGCGATTTTACCCACTTTGAGCCCTATTTTCGCTAATTCCATTGTTCCAGTTGACCAAACTCATAGCTATTTCTTTAGAACTCCATTTGTTCTATCGATTGACTACAAGAAACCACCCATTTACCGATTTCAACTACCCAATAAAGTGGTCAGAATTTGGCAATTTGGCCAATTTCACACAAATTAAAAAAGATGCCAGTTTCTAAATAGGGTCAAGAATGAACAACGCAGATGTTTCTGGCACTAAAATAACATTTTCTCTGTTCATCAGTCACATCTCTAGGCCCCTCTTATATTACTCTTACTTTCTATTTTGAATTTTTATTCGCACAAAAAATAGAAGATTTACTTTTATGCAGACCACTGCATAATTGTATAAATAATGTCAACTCACGTGTGACTGCATATTAGAATGGTTAGTTGGACACTTATTGGACAGTGACATCATTTGTTTACTCTTGAACATCGGTAAAACTCAAACATTTCCACTACTTTGAGCTCAATTTCAAGGTCCTTTTCATCGTGAAACCAATCAAAATCATCTCTATTTCTGTAATGTCTTCCATTCTCTCAAATGAGACCAAGAAAACGAGAATGCAACCATAAATACTATATGAAAATACACCTCAAATTCAGCTTTTCAGTCCAAAAACACGGTCGGATTTTTTTTTTCTCATGCACTGCGTGCTGCAGGATTTTTTTATACTACACACACTGACCATAGACCCATTCTCTCGCATGTGGGCCTACCAGCTTTCTCCCGATTTTGGCATATTAATACGTCAAAAACACTGGCTTGTAAGATTATATATATGACAGAAACAGTCAAAGGGTAAATTTATTCCACATAATCCTTGAATTTATACATTTTTATTCCCCTCTTTTCCTGCCATAACTGATCCTTCAACATCATTGCTACTCCTTCCTTAGCTGTAACTCTGTTAGAAACCCCTGACCTAATCTCATTTATTTCTCCCCACTGAAACTCTCCTACCCTTTCAGCTTTATTTCACTTAGAGCCAGGACATCCAGCTTCTTTTCATTCATAACAATCACAGTCATCTCTTATCATCTGCACTTCATCCACTCACATTCAGACTTTTCTCAACTTTTTCTTCTTTTTATTTTATGTAAGCTGTACAGAAAAAGGGGTTACTAGCCATTGCTCTCGGCATTTTAGTTGATTTTTACAACACGCATGGCTTACGAAGGAAAGATTCTTATTCCACTTCCTCATGGATATGAAAGGAAAATAATAAGAACAAGAATTAAGAAAAACCAAAGAAAATTCAGGTGAGTGTGTATACATAAATGTGTACATGCATGTGTAGTGTGACCTAAATGTGAGTAAAAGTAGCAAGATATACAGTACCTGTTATCTTGTATGTTTATGAGACAGAAAAAAGAAGACATCAGCACTCCTGCCATCATGTAAAACAAATACAGCTTTCTGTCTTACTCATTTGGCTGGACAGTAGTACCTCCCTGGGTGGTTGCTGTCTACCAACCTACTACTTTTAATATAGTCATAATATTTTTCAAATTACATTAAATGCATAAAATTGCTTTTTTTTGCTCCCAAACAGATGTTTGACTGTGGATAGTGTCACCTGGCAACATCATTCATGAGTTCTTTCCAGCCACCTGTCCACCCAACTGCTTCAGAAGGCCACCCAGTATACTTGACTGCTGTCAGTACTATGCACTTCATTTGAGGTACTCCCTAAATTAATAATGGCTATGATAGATGAAAATGTGTCATTGTTGCCTGCAGTGCATCCAACAATGGAAAGGTGTAACCTTGTTAGACACTCTGTTGTGTTGACTTTTTCTGAAGTGTATAAACACATGTCTCTCTTAAAAGGCAGAAGTATTTATGATTACTGTATACAAGAAAATGCTCCAGGGTACATTAAACATGTTTTTTCAGTTGAAGAGAATGACATGGTCCAAACAAGCATAGCTCCAGAACACCTAAACTTGAAGGTTTTGTACAAATTAGTTAGGTATGTGTGTGGTCTGGCTCCACGTGAGGATGACACATGGCACAACAAGGACTCGCTAGAGTTTCTCATTAATTCTGCTTGGGAACAAATGGAAACTTTAAATGAGGCTGCTGCCTTAACAGATCAGTGTCTTAATCACAGGCTTGACATTCTGCAACAGTGTCTAGCAAAAATTCTTGACAAAGTTCAGGAAATGAAGCAGGTAGATGTTGAGACCGTCCGCAGAGAGGTACTAAAAAATTCCACGATGACACCAGTGGGCCCATGTGCAAATGCATCCTCCTCTTCTGACATACCATACATGTACAAAATTTTAACCCAGCATATAATACATAGAATATTTGTAATGGTATTTAAACAACTGAACTGCCTTAATGAAAAAAGTATCTATGACTACCTTAAGGAAGACACAAACATACGTAGACCAATGGTATGTTTCACACGTAGAGAAAAAGACATATTGAAGAATAAATCCTTCCAGCCAGAAAATGTGTCTATCCATCTCTTATATAAACTCCTGCCACGTGTGTGTGATCTGTCAAGCCATAAAGAGTGGCCTACATCTCAAAATACAATAGAATATTGCCTTTTCTGCATAAAGCAAGAGCATGACTGCGCAGCATTCCTAGATGTGCAAAAATTTGCAAACAACTCGCACAAGTTATACAGATACTTGGACAGAATATTGAGTATGATTGCAGAGAAACATAATAAAACAAAACAAGACATTCTGAGAGAGATGCCAGATGAGCCAGTTTGTATGGATGATTCCTTTCAATTCTGTGATGTTTTGTTCTCTCGTATATCTCAGCAGGCTGTTTTTTTAACTCAGACATCACAAGAGCTTAGCTTTTCTCCAACAGCCAAAGAGCCAGGTCCCTCCTTTCGTGCACACCAGGAACCTGGCCCCTCTCATACACCCCAGGAGCCTGACATCTTTCACACATGCCAAGCACCCACTCCCTCCACTCCAGAGAAACAGTTATTGCCTAGTCAGACACCATATTCTTTCAATTCTGTAACACCTGAAGAAGCTAATGTTGTACATTTATTCAAAGCTTTATGTCCTGGAGGAGTAGCAGCAAAGGTCATGTGTGAGGTCTATTTTGCTCTTTCTGGTGATATTGGTAAAGTTAATAAGAAATCTTTCACTGCTATTGAACTGAACCAAGTGAAGGGAGATATAAGAGAGCTAGACATTACCACACTATATAAACTTTTAAGGTTTGCATGTGATTTGGCTGCACCTGGTGATGCTATTTGGATCACTCAAGGTGACACTCTTGAATATTGTCTCAACTCTGTAAAAACCATGAGAAATGAATTGGCTCACAAGATAATTTGCATTAGCAATGAGGATCTCAAGTCAAAGATTCAGAATTTAGAATGCCTCTTAGAAAGTATTTTGCTTAAAGCTAGTTCTTTATCAAAGAAGGACTTAAAGGATAAAATTGACAACATGAAAAATGAAATACAACCACTTGCTGAACCACCACCTTTCTTGCTTGATAAAGAGAATTACTTAACTAAGATAAAAATTCTCCAAGAAACATTAGCAAGCCAGATGGCGCATGATGCTGAAAAAGAGCTACTCAACCAGTATAGTCTTGATGCTTTCACAAATATTTCTCCAGTTACATGGAGTTATACTGACCAACATAGAAATATGACCATAGACAAGCTATTTACAGATTTGGAAATTGTGGATGCTGTTGATGTGAAAATTGGAAATACATTTTCCTTGAAAGAGAGAGTGTTTCCTGTGTTATTAGAACAAAGTGAGGAGATAGGGTCAAGAGTTATTATTGTACAAGGTGTTGCAGGGGCTGGAAAGACATCCCTATGTAAGTTCCTCATTCATCTTTGGACAACTTGTCAAAAACATGTCAGCCAGAAATCTGTTGATTTACTAATCTATATACAGTGCAGATATGTTACTACATCTTCTATATCATCATACTTGAAAACCATTTTGCCAAAGACATTCAGGTGCATTGATATGGATGATATCATTCCTTTGATGCAGGAATCAAGGGTGACGTTCTTGGTAGATGGCTATGATGAAGCTCGCACTGAGGCCAAGGATCTTTTAGATGATATTCTCAAATTTTTACCAGAAAGTAAAATGATCATAACTTCAAGGCCACAGTGGGTACCAAAACTTAAATCTAAAGTTAACCAAATTTCCTCAAGTTGCATGAAAGTACTCAGTTTGACAGGCTTCAAGAATGACAAACGGAATGAATTTATTCAAAAACTCTTTGATGTTACACTAGGGGTAAATCAACAGCAAAGATGTAACCAGTTTTTTGCTTACCTGAATAAACTGGGAGAACAGCTGGAGGTACTTACAGAGTTGCCACTGACTTTAACACTTTTAGTTATGTTATGGATAGATGACTGCAAGAATGCTATGGAAGCAAAGACCATTACACAGCTCTATAGAAAACTCATAGAATTTATGCTGAAGAGACTCAGTTCCAAGCTCAACATATCTGATCACGAACAATGCCGGGAATGGATGTTAACCTTGGGAGAAATAGCATGGGCTAATCTTAAAAAAAATCAGCATTACCTAGATAAAAGAAATGTAACTAAACTTAAAAGAAAAGCAGACAGCTTGCATGTTGATGGCATGGCAGCAATTTCAACATTCTTGCATTGTGATATCCAGATTTCCCTTACCGATTCTCATGAGTTTTGGACATTTGCACACAACTGTCAACAAGAATTCCTAGCAGCCGAATTTATTGTTGAAGATGTGATAGTGAATGATAAATCACTCAGAGATATTCTAGGATTCCATGGAGGTGATGGAGAAGACAAGAAGCTACAGAGATTAATCCCAGTAATAGAATTTATAACTGGTTTACTATCCCAAGAAAATGAGATAACAAAAGAAAGGGCAAGTGAAATTATTCAGATAGCTTTAGTACAGACACCATGGTCTTTCATTGCAATGAGTCGTATAGTTCAGGATATGTTAGAGACAAATGTAGAAGCTAAAGAAATCCTCAAAAACATGTTTAAAGGACAAACATTATCAGATTTCCTTGATGGCTATGACCCACAGAGTGTAAAGTGGGTCCTTGAGAACACATCCTTAGGCATCCCTTCTTGTATTCGACTGAGAAACTCTGTTACTGCTGTACTCAAGATGGAACCTTTATTACAGCTACTAAATAAGAAATCTTGTCATCCTGAGATTATCATATCCATTGATTATGTTAAAAGTACTGAAAAGGCAATAGAATTTGTGAGGAATCTTAAAGAGCCATTAGGGACATTCATTCTGCTGACTTGGAACTCTCACTCACTCATTGAACTCATTAAAAATTGGCCATGGGATCAATCCTTGCATTTGTCTTTTCCTTACGAAGTTTTCCCTCTTCTGTGGTGGGAACTTGTTATATGCCTGACAAAGCAAAATATTGCTGTTAATACTCTTATTTATAGCTCCAGGAACCAAGATTGTGAGAAATTAATTGAGGAGGGAGCAAAATCTCTACACCTAACCTGTAAGACTGATGAATCACTGGATGCTGGGGATATAATCATTTCATGCTGAAACATGAAAGAACATGTCAAGACTGAATAACCATAAGCTTTTATAGGCTAATATATAATGTTTTTGCAAATTTAAACTAGAAATGCTCTACTGTAAATGTAATTAAGAGGAACCTCTACTTGTGAGCGTGTCCACGTGCAAGTTTTTCCAAATACGAGCAGTTGATGGGTCGATTTTTTGCTTCCATACACGAGCAAAATTTCCACAAGCGAGCAGACCTCAAGGCAGGTTCCTTGACACTGGTGAGGGGCTCTTGCTCTTGATCTCGGGAATTGTATCTCATTTGTTTGTTGGGCTATCTTATTGAAACTTGGGCAATGTAGGATGGAAAGATGCTTCTTAACATACACCAAAAATGAAAGAGATCTAAGCATAAATAATGGAGTTCACTTCTCAGCAATTAGCCACCCCTTAGCGGCAATTTCGAATGGTTTTTATGGTTGTATTCTCGTTTTTTGGTCTCATTTGATAGAATGGAAGATATATTACAGAAATAGATATGATTTTGATTGCTTTCATGAGATAAGTACCTTGGAGAAATGGTCCATTGCTTGGCCATTCCAGTATGCAGTTGTGAATGGGTTGACATTATTTATACAATTAATGCAATAAGGAATAACAGTAAATCTTATATTTTTTGTGTGAGTAAAAGTTACAAATTATAATAATAATAATAATAATAATAATAATAATATGTATAATAATAATACGTTTAACAATTGTGTAATAATATAATACGAGGTTTTGTGTGCGAGGGGCTTGGACTTCCAGCAGGCATGCGTGAGCGTGTTTGATAGGAGTGAATGGAGACAAATGGTTTTTAATACTTGACGTGCTGTTGGAGTGTGAGCAAAGTAACATTTATGAAGGGATTCAGGGAAACCGGCAGGCCGGACTTGAGTCCTGGAGATGGGAAGTACAGTGCCTGCACTCTGAAGGAGGGGTGTTAATGTTGCAGTTTAAAAACTGTAGTGTAAAGCACCCTTCTGGCAAGACAGTGATGGAGTGAATGATGGTGAAAGTTTTTCTTTTTCGGGCCACCCTGCCTTGGTGGGAATCGGCCAGTGTGATAATAAAAAAAAAAAAAAAAAAAAATATTATATATGTATTATTATTATAATATATATAATGTATTATTATTATATATTATATATGTATTATTATTATATATTATATATGTATTATTATTGTATATTATATATGTATTATTATTGTATATTATATATGTATTATTATTATATATTATATATGTATTATTATTATATATTATATATGTATTATTATTATATATTATATATGTATTATTATTATATATTATATATGTATTATTATTATGCATAATAATATACTACATGTAATAACAGACAGCTTCAAAAGGCTGTCACTAGATAGCAGTGTTTACCACAATAAAGAGGGAGAGGTTGTGGCCGCCTCCACCTGTTACACAATGACATATTTTATTCATTCTAGAGTATATATCAGGTTTCTATTTTATTTATATTGTTTGTTTTGTCATATTAGATGAACTGTGATAGATAAATAAGCCATATACATGTAGATGATATTAGCGAAATTATTCATGAAGTATTTTGCCCGGTCTCCAGACAAACTCTCGTCCACCGCCGACACCGCCCATACCACTACATGAATGACATATTTTATTCATTCTAGAGTATATATCATGTTTCTATGTTATTCATATTGTTTGTTATGTCATATTAGATGAACTGTGATAGATAAATAAGCCGTAGAGTTGATATTAGCAAAATTATTGAAGTACAGAATTCCACTGGAACAGATTAATTGGATTTCAATTAATTTAAATGGGGAAAATTGACTCTGAAAACAAGCAAATCCAGTTGCAAGCAAGGTCATGGAACAGATTAAACTCGCAAGTAGAGGTTCCACTGTATATACTTACAGCAATTACGAGGGAAAGATGCTTATTCAGGTAAACTCCAGGTTGTCCCTTTTTCTTATCATTAATTTCTTTTAATGCTTTAAAGTTGTCAGTAGTTGTAGCATTCTGCCTTGTCTGGGAGCTTCATTTATTTTTATATCCTCTTATGGACTAGCGTTGTCTTAACAAATATTTTCTTGTATCTTCCAAAGAGGACTTATCCACTGTTTCCTACATTTCTTTATAATTTTTTTTTTTTAGTTCTGGAATCCATTTTTTTTTATTATATGTAACCTTGTATAGATGAAAATTACACATGCTTTATCAATACAAATACCAGGACATAATTTGAAGACAGTAGAACTATATACAGAAGATGAGGTAATCAGTCCCTCAGCCTTAGAGGTGGTGTGAAGAGCACCGTAGTCATGAAAAATCTGGAGTACAAGCAAGAAGGCTGGCGCTTATATGCTGGCATCAGATGAAAAGGGGACAGGTAACAGATGAAGGGATTGTCGGTAGGCGGGATTCCCCAGTGGAAGTAGGTCTTACCTAAGGGATTGGTTAGTAGAAGTGATGAAGGTTGTGGAGATGTCCTCTGAACCAAGATTCCATGATATTGCGTTGATAAAGCCACTGGATGGCAAAATGTCTACACTAGGATACCGAGATGTTGCATATGTGTCTAATTTTCATCTTGTCATTATTGTATACCATTCATGTACAACTTGTCAGACACTGCAACATCATGGCATCTTTTTTTTTTTTTTTTTAACAGGGTTTGACACGTTTAAGGATCCCTAACTTTATTGACAAGCTATTTACAGGTTAAGGATTCCTAACTTTATTGGCAAGCTAAGAGCTGTTACCTACATCAGCTCATTTGAAAGCATTTTTATTGTTAAGAGACATACAAGTAGGGAACAGGATGAAGTTGGAGCCATCTGTGGGCCAGCATTTTCATTTGATCAACTGACTTTATCTCGTTGACATCATTATGCTGTACGAATGTGTTCCATACTCGAGTCATCCTGGGTATGTATGATCTCAGATGGAGTGATGTTCTGGAGAAGGGTACAGCCAGAGTGAAGTTGCTGCTTTCTGCCCGTCTTGTGGCATAAAAGCTTGTTTCATGCTGTCCTCAAAGTGGATCCAAGTGTGGTATTTTGACAGTATTGGCCTTGTACATAACAGTAAGGCCACCCACATCCCTCCTATGTTGAAGGCTCTGCTGAAATGACAGATCTATCCAGGACATCAGAGGACATCTCCACAACCTTGTTCACTTCTACTAAACCATCCCTTGGATATGACCTACTTCCACTGGGGAATCCCGCCTACCAGTGACAATGCGCTCGTCTGCTACCCGTCCCCTTTTCATCTGATGCCAGTATATAAGTGCCAGCCTTCTTGCTTGTGCTCCAGATTCTTCATGATTATGGTACTTTTCACACTAACTCCAAGGCTGAGGGACTGATTACCTCATCTTTTGTATATAGTTCTACTGTTTTCAAATTATGTCCTAGAATTGATGTTGATAAAGCCACTGCATGGCAAAACATCTTCATTAAAGATACCCAAATGTTGCATGTGTCTAATTTTCATCTTGTCAGTATTGTATACCATTCATATGCAACCTTATATAGTCGAGATTTTAAGACCAAATTTTTAAGCAAAAAGTCAGGGGTTGACCTGTGGATACTACTCTTGAAAGGCTGAAATTTTGACATAGTGAGAGCTTATCATACACTAGATTCCTACTTCTTTGGTACATCAAGGTATAAACCACACTCAGTAACCCTATTTGCATATTTAATTTGAAATAGTTACCGAGTGTGGTTTATACTTTGATGCACCAAAGACGTAGTTTCCACGAATTAATCGACCCTTGACTTTTTGCTTAAAATTTGATCTTAAATTCTCAACCTGTACAAGAGTATATAGTTACTCATGAAATCATAATGACATGATTGCAAACAAACCATACTATGGGCAGGGATAGAACCTGCGATCAGAGAGCCATAAAACTCCAGACCGACACGCTAGCCACTGGGCCAGCTGGCTACAAGAAGATTAGTCCAACTAGATATATTTATACATCATAGGAAGGTTAGCATAGGCACCATTGTGACCACAAATGTAAGTTTTTACAGACGAGTCTTCTGCCAGCGTGGCCGTGACTAGCTCTAGCTCGAGTCTCCTCAAAGCCGTCAACATGACTCTCAAAATCGTAATGAAACGATTGCAAACAAACCATACCATGGGCGGGGATAGAACCCGTGATAGGAGAGTCATAAAACTCTAGACCGACACGCTAGTCATGTTGACGGTTTGAGGGGACTTGAGCTAGAGCTAGTCACAGCCATGCTGGTGGGAGATTTATCTGTAAAAACTTGCATTTGTGGTCACAGTGGTGCCTATGCTAATCTTCCTTTGGTGTATAAATATACCTAGTTGGACGAATCTTGCTGTAGCCAGCTGGCCCAGTGGCTAGCACTACGATCTGGAGTTTTATGACTCTGATTGCGGGTTCTATCCCCACCCGTGGTATGGTTTAACCCTTAAACTGCCCAAACGTAGATGTACATTCACTTCCGCAGTGCTCCTAATATTTTGCAAAAAAGTTTTTTTCTTTTTAAATTAGAGAGGGCAGTTTTGTGTTATAAGACCAAAAAAAAAAAATTTAGGACCAGTACTTACTGAAATATAAGACTGTGAAGTTGGCACTGGATGCTCACCTGATGGCAACATAGTCCTGCTGCTTGCAGAAGTGTTGCTGATATATTTTTTTTTTTTTTTTTATTTCCAATTTGAGCACACATACAGAGGTACAAAAAAATACAGATAAGAGCAGCATGCCAAAGCCACTTATACTATGCATAGCATTACGGGCTGGCTTAAAATTAACTTAAGATTAACTAAGCAATGATGAAATCAGTGATAAAACATTAATGTAAACAGATTACTATAAAGCACAAGTGAGTACTACAAAGACAGGTCATATGGTTGCATTCAGTTAGGTAGTGATTCTGTTAGGTAGTGTATTTAAAAAATAATAAAGTTAGATTCGGTTTTAGGTTTAACATTTATGTGATATAATTGTGAGAAACATTTAAAGATATACAATTTATAAGGTTCAGTTATTCAGTATTTATTTGGTTTTGGGTGAGTAAGTGATCTTTGAGAAGAGACTTGAATTTATAAACAGGTAGTGTTCTTTTATATTTACAGGAAATGAATTCCAGATTTTAGGGCCTTTTATGTGCATTGAGTTTTTGCATAGTGTGAGATGGACACGAGGAACAAAAAAAAGAGTGATCTGTGCCTTGTGTTATGGTCATGTGTTCTGTTGAGGTTGGCAAGGAGATGTTTGAGGGGAGGGTTAATATCAGAGTTAAGTGTTTCTATGTATGTAATGGTGCAGTAATAAGTATGGATTTTTTTGTATGGTGAGTAGGTTTAGTGTATTGAATATTGGTGGAGTGTGCTGCCTGTAGTGAGAATTTGTTATCATTCTAACTGCAGCCTTTTGTTGAGTAATTAGTGGTCTGAGATGGTTAATTGTTGTTGGGGCCCCATGCACAAATTCCATAGGTGAGATAGGGGTAAATAAGAGTGATATAGGGCCAGGAGGGCTGACTGTGGAACATAGTACCGTATCTTCGATAGTATGTAGGGCCAGGAGGGCTGACTGTGGAACATAGTACCGTATCTTCGATAGTATGCCTACAGTCTTGGAAATTTTCTTAGAAATTTGTTGTATAGGGTGTGTGAAATTTGAGTCTATTATCAAGGTGGATTCCTAAAAAATTTTCCCTCTTTTTAGTTTTGTGATAGGTGATCCGTTTATCATTATGTTAAGAGGGACATCTGTAGCTCTGTTACCAAACTGAATGAAGTAGGTTTTGTCAATGTTTAGTGTAAGTTTTTTTAGTCCTCATCCAGGTAGATATTTTCTGTAATTCGGTATTTACAGTATTGGCTAGCGTGACTGGGCTCGGGTGAGAGAAGACGTATGTAGTGTCATCTGCAAATAGTGTGGGTTTGAGTAATTGCGAACATTTGGAAGGTCATTTATGTATAGGAGAAAGAGAAGAGGGCCAAGGACACTT